TGCAGCGGCAACAAACGGCCGCGCCGCGCCGCGCTGAGCTACGGCCAGCCAGTGCTGAACTACGGCCGGCCCGCGCTGACTGAGAACTGTGCACGGTGCAGCCACCCGGCCGCTCACTGCGCTATCTGATCTCAGACCGAATGATTGTCGGGCGGAGCGATCCATCGTCAGCGGCTCTGGCCACCCTGCGCCGGATCAGACCCCGTCCGTGACCCGGGTCACCGGAAGGTTACTCCACCGGCGGGAATCCAGCGCCCGGCCGGCACGCCCAGTGTCGCAATGACAGAGCGCTGAAACAGAATCGGAAGGCACCGGACGTAAACTAGGCACCGGCGGCCGGCAGGTCTAATCTCGGGAAATCCGAGCCGATTGGAGCTGACGGCTGACCTGCAGTAACTCCCGGAGGCCGGAGCGGCCATGTCGCGGGGCCGGCGGAGACGGAAGCTCAGATAGCACTCGTGGAAGGACACGCCACTGCCCACCCCCCTCGTCACGCACTGCTGTGTGCTCCCATGGCCAGTGGCCGGACAGCGCCGTGCAAACTGTGCCAGGCACGCGAGGGGACGATCAGCCGCCTGGGCCTCCAAAGCAGAGAGAGCCACGGGCAACAAGGATTCTCTTCTCTGAAATCACAACCAGTCGGACGCTGTCCTGAGCTGACATCCCACGACTCATCAAAGACCAACCGTAACCATCTGCGTCGTGGTTCCGAGGGTACCATGCCGGCCGTTCCACCCAGCCGTCGTGACCTACAGGGCCAAACCCCTGCCATGCACGCGCTAACTCGTGGCCGAGGATGGTCGTGTCACGTGCCGTCAGCACTGGATCGGATCGTGACCCGGGTGATATCGTTGGGGTGAAAATGACCGACTGACGGCTCTAGCCGTACGTACATACATACGTGGTGCATTGTTCGTATATATGGTGCATGACACAGGCAGTAGGCACCTCGCGATATGGGACCGAACGCGTGCACCGGTGCAGGGCCACACCGCAAGTGGCAAAAAAGGTGTGCGAGATATCTTGATAAGGGTGACAAAGAAGGCGTGCAAATTCCTTGCCAAGTACGGAATCACGGTGAAACAGATGGAGAAGAGGCCGAAGAGGACATAAATCAAGGAGGAATCGATGTTGGCCTTTCAGAGGGGCGACAAGTGCAATCAGCGGAGAAGTGCTGGTGTTATCACCTCTGCTGTAACTACCCGGCCTAATTCCTGTTTACTCTGATTCTTGTGGGCAACTCCATATGCCGTGACAGTCTGATCAGACTCAGACAGAGCGTGACATTTTGGTCAGACTCGTCACGGTGCACTTAGCACGGGGCACACCGCAGTCAACACCGCTGACCGCACCCACAGTCGCACCCCGCTGAGAATCTCACGGCATCCAGTTACCGAGATCCTGGAGAGCCGAAACTCCAGCTGGAGTGGACAAGCCGTCTCCAGCAGAGATCGCCAGCCACTGAGAATGAGATCACAGCCAGTCTGGTAGAGCGGGGATGGGGTACCCCAGGGGATAATAAATGCGTCATGAACCGGTGAAGACGGTGGTCCGACGGGAAGGGGGTAGTGTTGCGGGAAAATACAGGCTATATCAGAGAGGCCTGAAGGGTTCAGTGAGCTGGAGCGAGTGGGCGGATGGTGGGTGGAAAGGCCGACATTGTGTCCTGACCGCCACCGGAGAACGCGAGATCGGGAGAGCTGAGGAGAGCCGGGACGTGGCCTTTTACTGAGCTGTGAGCATCGCGGCCTGTCCTGTCCCCGCTGGTCAGCAATTGATATCGTATGCTGTCCCAACTAACCAGTCAGTGCGGGCTGCTTGACCTGTTGGCTGAATGTTACCACTGACCGGTCAGTTGGGGACTTTCCCAATGACCAGTCAGTAGCGTGTGACCGTCATATCTAACGATGACAGGAAGCAGCCTTAGTTAACACTGCCCCTGCGCCGAGTGCAGAGCTGCACGCCTTGTGCAATGCAATATTGCATGCCGAAGTTCGAGCGCACCGGCAAAGCTAAAAATGGACACAACAATGAAGTAATCCATGGTGAAACGTGACTCTAATCCGTAAACATTTGCATTGTGCACTTGCATGAACATGCAAGCGATTGAGTATCGTGCATGCATGACCACACAGGCTGTTAAATCAGTGTTATCATTCAAGAATGAAAAAGTCACGTTTTATTCATTTCGTATGTTGAATTTAGCGCATTAGAGCATACCGAGCATACCTACCCCAACAGTCAAGGAGTAGGTATTTAATTCCCAAAGCATTCTAAAAATAAATAAATAAATAAATAAAACAACTAAATAGAAAAAAAACAATGGCCACCCGATATTGACTCTCATGATTCGTTGTAGGCTGGAACTCAAGGAAAGTTTCCCAGGGTTTTTAAAATATCCGAACAAAGATTACCCAATTGCTTCGATACCATCGATTAATTACGGAAAGGATCGTGCCTTGTAGCTTAGAAACCGAAACACCTATCAAATATTGCATTTATCAACATCAAGAAAGACAGCGGCCTTAATTATCCAGAAAATCGCATTCGGAAAACAAACTACTACGCTGAGACATTTGTCGGAGCCATCCATTATCTGTATCTCGATCAGAACCAATCGGACCATTGGCAGAGGCCACGTCAGACGAGTGAGTCACCGAGTAGGTAGCCGCAGTCGAGAGGCCGCTCCAGACCGGAGTGAAATGACTGGACAAATTCCCACGGACTTCCTGCGTCGTGCGCTAATCGGGCCGTCTTTCCCAGCCGAGCGCCGATTTTGAACGGCGAGCCTACAGCTAAACAGTCTCGTTTGTCTGTGATGGAAAACCACGAACCAAGAAATGAAGCAAAGGCCAAGGGAAAACATCGTAGGAATCATGAAAACGCTATTCCAACTTGCCAATTATTAGTCACGTACTCTCGCTGTTGAAAACAATTTTACATAATAAACGAATTGAGATAATTAAAAAAAAAATCCTTTTCCAATTTCAATTGTTCTTATTTCTGCTTGCACAAAACGATATTGATATACCCGTGCCTATGCATGGCAACCTTATATTATATATCAAACCGTGAGTAGGTATAGAACACATCTTTTAAATGTCGAGCCGATAGGCGAGACGTTTAAAAGATTTTTCTACCTACGAGCGGTTTAGGTAATGATTTTATCCCGTACCGTACCGCCGATATGTTTCGGGCGCTTAAAGGTAAAAAAATACATTTTATATAAAAAAATACGACATAATTCAGACTAGACGAAATATCTACTAGACATTTAGCAGTTTGTTAACCGTCTAGACGTTTAACAAAGCAGTTAAACGACATCTGATAATTTTCTCTCTTTGCACGTGAAACAATTGTAAACACTGTCTACGGTGCGGGATAATCAACTATCAATTATCTGAAATTATCCCGCACCGTAGACAGGTTTACTATTGCTTCACGTGCAAAGAGAGAAAATTATCAGATGTCGTTTAAATGATTTGTTAAACGTCTAGGCGTTTAACAAACTGTTAAACGTCTAGTAGACATTTTGTCTAGTCTGCAATATGTCGTATTTTTACATGAAACGTATTTTTTACCTTTAAGCGCCCGCAAGATACCGGCGTAACGGGATAAAATCATTAAACCGCTCGTAGGTAGAACAAATTTTTCAAACGTCTCGCCTATCGGCTCGACGTTTAAAAGAATTCTTCTACCTACTCGCCGTTTAATACCTAAATAATGTCCCGTAACAAAACGTCCTATACGCAATATGTTCGCATATAAAGTCGCTCCTTTTAACATATACATAAATAGACATCTTATGTCGAAAGTTGTTATACAAGCCCGAGCGGCAGGCGTGCATCAACATGAAAGTTCACGATATTTTGATCCGTTGGAATACCTGTGATAACAATTAGCATGCTTCATCACTTGTACCCAAGGATATAAAGGATTGGCACAACTGCAGAGTCTCCGACCAATTGACTCCCCTTCAAATCTCTGACACGTTCGATCCCATACCTGCCATGCCAATGCATCACCCGCTAAGTCGAAAGAAACATCCGACTCCCGACTGGAAAAAATGCCTCCACTACGCTGAAGTTCTCGGCGGAGGTGATGCGCCGAAATTTCGGCGCAAGGGTTTATGCGCCGAAATTATTTTACCAAGCCATGCTTCATGCGCCGAAAATTTTCAAGGCTTACTGATGGCTGCAGGCTGTAGCCACGCACTTTTCATCGAGGGGGGGGGATGGCGTGTGTGTGTGACTGTCTTCCAGTGACTACTGTCTACAGACGGTTGTTGGCACGGTCGACGGGATCGGGCAGACAAAAGACATCAGCAGGCCATGCGGGACCGAGCACCAGGGTTCGCTATCACAAAATATCCTGACTCACAAACTCACTGGCATGTTCCATAACGTAACCTTTATTTTGTTGCTCGGCTCTGATCAGCAGTAGTGCCCAGCCGGTGACTGACGCCTGACGGGGCCTTCAACAGGCGTGGTGCAAGCACGGCCGATGGGATCGGGCAGATACCAGGCCACGCGGGACCGATTGCCAGCGTCCGCTCACAAACCACACGCCGGAAATACAGGAATCACAACGGTCAATACGCACACGATAGCATACGTTATCTGAACTAGGGGATCCGACAATCCATAACCTCACTCTGGATCGTTGAACTGTTCCCGCCGTGGGAGAGTCGCAATCAGGTTCACTGAACATGACTTAAATACCCTGAGACGAGCACGAGACAAGATAAGTGATATTTAAGATGTTTAACTCCCGAAGACATTTAACCCTCGCCGGCCGAGGGGGGATTGGTGCCACCCCCCGGACGTTTTTTTCGCGATTTACGCCGAAGTACGCCGAAAATTTCGGCGCAAGCCGTCGATTTACGCCGAAGTACGCCGAAAATTTTCGGCGCAAACACCCAACTACGCTCGAGTTCTCGACGAGAGCGTGCATTTTTTCCAGTCGGGACATCCGTGACGAGCGCGGTGCGCCCGACTCACCTTTCTCAGTGTCCTCTCTCTGATGAGCCTCCTGCGGGGACCAATCCGGCTGTATCTGTGCAGCTCTCAGCCCGTCAGGAGACGGCAGTCGGTTATCCTCGCAGACCGGCAGCCGACACGCACCCCACGGAACGAACGCCACCGACCAACTGCCGCCGCCGGACACTGGAGTCGGTGGCGGACACACTGCGCATGCGCCCCGGCTCCTCGACTGCCGGCGCAGGCGGAGGCCCACGGAGACGAGCGGTGGGGTAAAGGGCGGCACAGCTGGACGAGAGGAGAGGGGTGATTTTAGAGACGCCGCGGAGAACGGAGACGACACCGTTCACAGGGCGGATGGCAGTGATGGCACACAGACACATGGGGAGATGGAGGGTTCGTTTGCCGGATACACACAACACATTGCCGGATACATACCCCCTGTGTCACACAGACACAGGGGGTATGGAGGGGATAGTTTACCGGACGGGATGACACACAACACATTGACACACGTCTGAACTCCTCCGACACAGTCATAACAGAAGAGTACCCCCAGGCGAGGAGGGCGGCAATGCTCAGCTGAGCGGTCGCGGTATAAAAAACATCAAACAAACAACGCATCGTGTCTGCTATACGCGAGGCTACAACTCCAAATAGTCATCAGTCGTCACAATATTATTTTGCAAAGCAGAACAGTACGGTAGGCCGAGCATGTGATGGCACTTCAAAATGCCGACACGCCAACCCGGCGACGTCAGAAAAAATAGACTGTGTTTGTGTGGCTTGGAGGTGACCGGTGATAAAATGGAAACGGGTGAGGGCAGTAACAAAGCAAAACGTTATTCGCGATAGAGCAACCATCATATAGGTGGGTCTTGGTAAGAGATGCATAATGCAAATAAAATAAAACAATATCAATTGGTAATATAAAAATGGCGCAGCCATGGGTAAGTAAGCTGTTAGCCTACCTAAAGGAAGCATATGAACGGACAAAGCTGAAGAAGATTTTACAAGTTGACACCCTACGTAGGTAGAACACTGAAACTTTTGCGCATTGCCCTCGTGTTCCCATGAACATTGGCCTCTCGGCAGAAAATATGATCACCGCGCTAAGCCGGTCATCTGAAGCGGCCTCTCGCATCTGGCCATCCTATCTCTGAGGTGCGGACAAAAAAAAACGTCATAATGAACGGGATTAGCGCCCTCGGGCGGCGCCTGCCCGTGAAAGAGGACCCCTCTCCGCGGCGCCCCCCCCCCCCTTCCGGCGCAGTCGCGAGGGGACAGGCGGGGACGGGGTGCGAGGGATGGGGGGGGGGGGTGACTAGTGCCCGCTCCGATTATCCTGACGCCGTTACCGGCCCGTTGTCGCCGCCTTTGTTCGCAGAGATGCGATCATGAGTCGTGAAGCGGGACGGGAGAGGGGCGGTACTCTGGGGAGGCACGCGTGAGGGGCTTTTTGTTGGGCATCGACTGTGCTATAAATTAGTTTGGTAAATAATTTACCGTCAATGATTTAGGATTGGCATAACTTCGTCGAACTACGCCTGCCACTGGCCTATTCACTATGAGCAACTGTATTGCTTTTTATAAAAGAGTGCATTTTATATTCCTCTATGCAGAATAGCCCAAAACCAGAGTGGATTACAGCAAGAGTTGAGCATGAACAGATTGAGCGCTCCACAGTGTATATAAATAGAGCGCTCGTTTTTCGCTCCTAATAGGATAAATAGGTGACATGAAGTGTTGCCGACAAATTGCACCTATGCAAGGCAGTACGGGCGAGAGACTCAGCGCTGCTGAGCCGAACCGCCGCCGCGCCGCCGAGCCGAGCGCCGTCCGCGGTCGCGGGACGCTGGCGTCCCCTCTGACCCGGCTGGCCGGCCGGCGCGGCAGGGCGGCTCCCTGTTTGCGTAGGACCGGCCCAGGTCCGGGCCATTGTGTGGGGCACGCACGTGCGCGCCCGGCGTGTGTGTCTTCCGGGTGGCTGATCGTCCTCAACGCGTCTTATTTTCACCCCCTGTCGCCGTATATAAACTAGCTGTAAACACCCCCGGCCCTCACTTCACCTTTCGACTTCGACGGGGACACTGCGCTGCCCCTAGCTCTCTTCCCGGTACGTTTCGCTGCCTTGTCCGCCAAATATAGTGAACTAGAAGACAAAGTGTGTGAGAAGCCCGAGTGAGAAGTGAAACAGTGCGCGGTCTATACACAGATGAGATATTCGACGGAGATGCGGCAGGCGTATCGGTTCCGGTGACCAGGTCTACTGACTATCCTTTTTTCATCCTAAAACATTCCTTAACCCGCGAGTTGCTGGGGGGGGGGGGCGTTAAACGCCCCCACTTTTTTCGCCGGGACATAGCATAAAAACGGCGCGCCGCAGGCGCGCCAAATTTTGGGTACCTGTAGGGAATTTATTGACGTTTATTGTGACAAAGTTTCAAAAAAATCGGTCGGAAAATTTTTGAGATATCGAGGTTTTAGTGACGTCATGATTTCTGAGTTTTCGACCAAAAACGGCATATGTTCAAAAAATCATATAAAATCACAGAATAGACATACAGACATGCCGTAAACGCCATTAGACTGCCAATACCATGATCAATCAAATGGCTATCTTCGATTATTGATTATCGTTCCGCATTTTCCATAATCTTGAACTGAATCGTGGCAATTTTTCGTGACTACTTCACGACCATGATACATGCATTTCTTAAATTGAACTTTTTGAGCCAAACACGTACACATATGATAAAATGAATGTCACCATCGTGTTCTACGCCCCAAATTACCTATAAAACATGTGTCACAGGCTGCGAATATCAGTTTTGATTTTCGGGGATATGTGCCTACCCGGTTGACCTGACCTTGACCCTGACCTATGCTTGACTGACCCCTACATGGAGCTGACACTCTTGTAGGCCTTATATGATGGATTGTGCACCGTTTGGACAGAGTTAATGACGAGAGGCGCCCATTGCGAAGTCCTGAAGTCCATGCTACTGAAAGCCCGATTTCAGGTGTTTGACCTGACCTTGACCCGACCTGTGACCTCAAAATTCAACTTTAAAGTACTCGTCTGAAGCGTCTCGTCGCGCTCTTTCGTTTGCCGCCTCGTGCGTTTCGCTGCGCCTATTGGTTCTCGAGTTATCGGCTGGGGGCGTTTAACGCCCCCCCCCCCCCCCCAGCAAACGGTGGGTGGCGAAATACCCCAGCAACTGCCGGGTTAAACTCTCTAAGAAGGGGGTTCCTTTGTCGTCGGCATCCGGCGCTCTATATTTAGGCCCTAACACACTCCCTGAGAGGGGGGTTCCTTTGACGTCGGTATCCGGCGCTCTCTTATTTAGGCCCTAACATAAACCCTAAGAAGGGGGTTCCTTTGCCGCCGGTATCCGGCGCTCTTTTATTAGGTCCAAATATACTTCCTAAGAAGGAGGTTCCTTAGTCGTCGGCATCCGGCGCTCTATCCTGTATCCAATATTTAGTTGGATCTTAACTAGGCTAACGTGATAGGTTATAACATTTATTTTCCCAATTTTCCAATTTAACCATTTTCCTCCTGGATCTCGGTCACCAAACAACCGAATGCTGTGCGATGCGCGATTAAATACAGTCCACACCATGAAAGGAGATTCGAACGAAAGCGTCGCCAACATGAAGCATGGACAGTAGCGGCGGAACACCCTCAATTAAGGGGGGCACTGCCGACTTTTGGTCCCATTTTTTCCATGCAACGCCCATAGGGCTAATGTTAAAATGCCAAAATCAAAGGGGGGCACGGTGCCCCGGTGCCCTCCCCGTTCCATCGCCTATGACGTGGAATGTGTGCTTTTATTCGTGCCTTAGATGCGGATTTTGCGGAGCTTTGCTGCGACAGAAATATAGCCAACATAGGCCACAAGACCGGCCTATCTATTTAACATTTCAACCGTCCCTCGAGCACCCGCGCCGAACTGAGTCTGCATTTTTGCATGCGCGCGCGACACTATTCCTCTCGATAGATTGCATATTTCCCGGGGGAACATCAAAGGCCTTTTGATGACGCTCGGTCCCGCGAGGCAGAGCATCGAATATCGACTACCGGTGACAATATGTGTGAAATATTCCGGCCTCGCTGCGACACTCTCCGAACCTCGGCCAGAGAACGAAGAAACTGGCGACCGCCACCGTCCGCTGCAGAAACCAGGACTTTTCTCCGGACGTGTCCCAGCCGAGATCGGAGAGCGCATTACTTACCCCGTCTCTGAGTTATCAGATCGGTATGCGCGATGGCCGAAATCCCAGGCCCATTCGGCGCTTTATGCTGGCCAGAGACAATGCAGAGGGGAGATAGCGGACAGAAGGAGGACCGGATCGAGACTGAGCGACGCCACATAAAACGTACCCGTTATGACCTTGTAGCCACGCAATGCGAGGCTTTGTTACCCGTGCTACCTCAGTGAAAGTTGGGTAATCACCGGCTTAAGGGCTTCACGTTACCGGCCATATGTTGGTCCAAACTGACGTGCAAAGTAGCCGTATTTTACAACGAAATTAAGTGTTAAGGATCCAATAAATGCTAACGATATTCAACAGCTTTTGCAATGCTCAGTGACGCTGAAAAAAAACTAACGGTTTGAAGGACAATTTAACTTCCCTAAATTCTATATAAGTTTGGTAAAAACGACGATTTTGATGAATCTTTGACGGTAGGTAATGAATGACACATAAGGGAGTGGGACGAAATTCAATTTATGTTTTTTTTATCAGGCGTTATACCTATGTGTGGTTTCCATATCCAAGCACCGAGCATTTATTTAATAATTATAAGTATCATATATTTATGCATGCATGATAAGCAAACCATAATTATTGCTGCCTGCAATTATGGAATATACCTATTACCTATTACTACATAATACATATACATGTATATGTATTTACATATATGAAATATACATATACATGTATGCATGTTTACATATACATGTATTGCCCACCTTTCACCCTTGCGATAAGCGGCATAAACTAAGTACCGAGCGTCTGGCCTCACCCCAGCCTATACAGGGTGATCCAAAAAATTTGGAACCCCTAACTTAAAATGTCTATAAGTCCGAAAGTATTCACTTTATTGACAAATTGCAAACACCATTAGAAAGAGTATTAAATCTT